AATTAGTTTGTGATTAGTGAAATATTATTGGAAATGAATTTGTTCAAGACAGTTAATTTGTGACAATGATAATAATGAAATTACCGGTTAAGAATCAAATCAAATATTCAATGAATTGAATGTATAGCTCAGGTATTGTTCTTCGAATTTTGAAGAACCTAGTAATTTTTAACATCGCCAAATTTTGAAATCATTATTGTAAAATTTCCTTTAAATTATGTGAATATAACCGTGAATTGTAATATCATCGAAAGTGTTCTCAGTTTTTTCATCGAAATGTTTGTTTCTATTTCAAAAGTAAACGATCACATTTGTGTGCTTTGAACCGAGAGAAAAAATGGATTTATTTTTCTTTCGTAGTTTGAAATAGAAAATTACATTTCTATGATGAAAAATGTATTTGAACTTGGAACGTTGAATATCCGTATTGCTCGGCTCGAGGAAAGGTCATAACGTCGGGAACGAAAATTGTTTTGTTCTGAAGACATATTTGACGTTTAAGTGTTACCATTTTCTATTATTTCGTTTTGAGAATATACTGTTGTTGGTTTTGCGGTAAAATAAGATTTGTTTCATAACATATGGAATCAGTGAATTACGATTATATGATAGGTAATGTTTTGCCATGTCCTCTGGGATTAATATTATTCACAAATTCTTGCATATACTGTTCAAAAAATGAGATGAATGTTCAAATTTCGGGGGATGTGTACATTANCACATATATTCAGTGGGCATACTTGAAGACTGGCTGTAAATCAAATCAAGGATTTTTTTCTGATTGATTCGGCCGTTATTTGATGGAGATCCATAGTAATTTCATAAACTACACCTCACGATTTGACCTCCACAAACTTTATTTGAAAAATATATCATGACATGTTTCGCTAACACAGTAGCTTCTTCAACAGTGATTTGCATACAACAGTGAAATAAAGTTTGTGGAGATCAAATCGTGAGGTGTAGTTTATGAAATCATCTAAAAGAACAATTCGTTCAGGCCAGTCTCAACTCCCTACACTATAGGTTAATTGACTGACACCTATCAGACAACAACTACTCCCCTGGCTAATACCACGAAGAGCGTTGGATTATATCCAATATCATCAACTTTAGAATGTTGGATTATATCCAATATCATCAACTTTAGGTTGATGATGGCCACTACCTTGCACTGACGAGAGGCCAAATAGCCCAAAACCTGTCTGCAAGTGTGCCTGTTCCTATAATTGAAAATAGATTCCAGTAGATGTGTCGCCAGCAGCATATGCAGGAAATACTATTGTGAAGATTTCTGCAGTGATATAATCCAACGCTCTTCGTGATATCAGCCAGGAAAATAGTTGTTTTCTGATTGGTGTCAGTCCATCAACCAACTATGTGGGTAAGTCGAGACTGGCCTGAACAAATTTTTCTTTTAGTTAATTTGATCCACACTCATTGTTTCTTTTTTTTCCGATATTGTTTTCTTTCTCTAATTCAATTTCAATCCGAATTTTTTTGTATTAGCTTTTTTCAAATATTATTTTCATTTGAATTTTTTTTTCTTTTCATACATTTCAAATCTATAAATATTTATCCAGACGAACATTGCATCTTTTCCAAACTAATGTTTACATGCGTTATTTATGAAAAGTTGTGATTTCTGTTTAACAATAATCACAATTACAATTATATGCAAAATATTAAAATTATTAAATGAAATTACTTTACGGCGTTTCGATTGTCAATATTCACAGTCAACCAAAATGTCAAACTGAATAGATGTCTTATCGGTTTACAACGATTCATTACTTTGAATTTTAGGAAATCTTGAAATTCAACTTAACATTTGTTTCAGGTTTTCTACAGACCAACATCAACCCTGACCCATCCACATTACCGACATTCCTGACATCCAGCCAAGTGTTTAAAGTAACAACCAAAGACACGGTTGTTTTGCCGTGTGAAGTGTCCAACTTAGGTAAGTTTTGTTTACAACTAGAGTTCGTTGTAATGAAATCAGAAAAGTATGTTTTTCTTTTCTGATCGATTCGGCCGTTACTTTCAACAAAGGGCTTCGACAGCATGAGCTCAATGAATTGCATAACCCGATTACCCCAGATGACGTTCGAAGAGCCATTGTGGGTTCCAAGAACTTTGCAGCTTCAGGCCTGGATCAACTGAACACTAACAAGCACCCACCGCCATCTGGCCAGAGTTTTCAATTTATGGCTGGACGGAGAGCAACCGATTCCGGATTGGTTTGTCGAGGGGCGGACCGTTCTCATCCCTAAAAGTGGAGATTTGTCTATTCCTATGAATTACAGACCGATAACATGCTTGAATTCGTATTATAAGTGGTTTACAAGCATCTTATACACACGAATACTCACCACAGTTGACCGAGTGTTTCGAACGGATATATGAGCAGAAAGGGTCGAAGAGAGGAGTCTCTGGATGTAAAGAGAACCTGCTCATCGATATGTGTGTAACGCAGGACACCATACAACAGCGTGACCTCTCTATGGCCTCTCTATTACCGTAAGGCATTTGATACAATATCGCATGAGCTCATCTTGCATTCGCTCAGATGCCTTGCGGTACCCGACAAAATAGTTATATGCATTGAACAACTGATACCAGTCTGGTGAACTTGCTTCACCATAACATCTGGTCAACCCAGAGTCCAAACAGGGTGGGTTACTTTCAGAAGCGGTGTATTTCAAGGCGATTCCGTCAGTTCCAATCTCGTCTGCATCTCACTAGTGCCATTATCCGTTGCGCTCAGAAATACTCGAGGGTATAACTGTGGCACCCCCGGCAAGCAGAGGCACAATGTCACTCAATTTTATATGGATGTTTTTGTTTCGTTCGTTTGTTCCGTTTTTGATTTCGGACGTCAGGTTAGATGTTGAGGGTGAATGTTTTTTCCAAATGAAGCATTCTAGATTTCAGGTTACATATGTTGGTTAGTATAGGGTAAGTTGTTCAATTGAAAAATACTCGATTTTATTCCATTCATTTATGATGTGTTTAATGGTTACTACAAACATCTAATTTCAGCTACAATCAACCCCATCGTTTGTAGTTTGAGGACAATTGTTATTTTATGATTTGAAGTCTCATTATCGTAGCTTTTCTGCTATACTTCGGAAGAATATATAATAAATTGATATTTTTTTGTAACTACAATAAACTACAATCAATTTAGAACCAATTATCAATAGTGCTTCTTCAGTAACCGATAAGACTACAACAAAATGTACATCACTACATTTATTAGTATCGTTTGTAGGTAAAGTAGGCTGAAAAAAATTAGATTTTTTTCAAAGGGGGTTCCAGCGCGACGGAGCTGCATGCTATCGGTATAAAATTCGGGATAGACAAATGTGCAATGGTCCATCTCAAAAGAGGACGATGCGGGGACTACGGAGAGGATGTGCAGCTCATTTATGGAAGCATGTTACACTATTTGGATGCCGGGGAGACGTATACTCACCTCGGGGTGGAACAACGCCACCCACAAGAGGTAACAGCAGTGAAGAACTCTCTCCGCACAAACTTCGACAGATCTAGTCATCGGAACTGTGGGAAAGAACAAAGTTGGTGCAGAAAATATGCTTGCCGTTCCAATTTCACTCTACTCGTTTGGATTAGTAGAGTGGAATCGGGAGGAACTGTATCAACGTAACGTAAAGACCCGAAAAATGATGCATCTCTATAAGAGTTTCCATTCCAAATCGTCCGTTCCCCGGTTGTACTTTCCTCGACAACAAGGAGGTCGTGAACTTCTGATTTTGAAATGTCTACATGACAGAATGGTACGGGATGTAGCCTGTGAAGTTATCAATAGTTCGGATCCCCTCCTCTGCATGGTTTGCGACCATGAGATATCAGGAAGAGGAGCATTTCTCTTTAGGGCAGCTGCCCGAGCATCTAATGAATTCGGTTTACTTTTCGACACTGAACGAGGTGATCACAACTCTGTCACCGAGTTGAAACTCGTTTAGCAAAAAGCTCATATTAAAGCCGCAGAGATCACCTTACTTCTGCGGAGTCACAGGGACAATGCATGGGGTCTTCTTCAATAACATTGAAGACCTTGGCTTATCAAAGCGCCTGACTTTCGCTTTCCTCAGGTCGAGTGGGCTGAAGTCGGAAACTAAGAGGTTCATCATGGCTTGCCAGGATAGTGTCTTCAACACCTTAGTCTGCCGCAGTTGCGTGATGAGAATAGAGGTTCCTGACGCAAAGTCCAGAGCCGCTGCGAGGTGTCCGAGATGCCAAAGTACTTGCTATCAGGATGTCTAGCATATGCGGTCTCGGCCTATATCCATCGTAATAACGCGGCCCTAATAGTGCTATATTACTATCTACGACACTCTTACGGTATTGATGAGACACCGGTGTTGCTCTACTCTCCGAGGGATATTGAATCCTTTGTGGGGAACGACAAGTGCCGAATTTATTGGAACTATTCGTTCGCCACCCTCAAGATTATACAAGCTAATAAGCCTGATGTGGTCTCGAAACGATATTTGTCGTGGAGTTTTCAGCTCCTGGCGAGACGAATATCGTCAGAAAACAGGAGGAAAAACGGAAAAAATATCGAGATTTTCTCTTCGAACTCCATATACTCCATCCAGACCACTCTGTCAAGATGGTTGTTCTGATTATTGGAGTCCTTGGTGGAATGATGCCATCTCTACTATCGAATCTTAAAATCATATCGGCTTGCCGCACTAAGGCAGAAATCTCAGCTGAATAGATGCAGAAGGCTGTCATTTTTGACTCACTGCGCTTGCTCAGGGCACATGATTTTCGGACCTAATGATCACTTACCCCACATGTGGGGAGTGGTCGTTGGTTGATAATGCTGGCGCGCCCTCCCGAATGTATTGGGATTTCGGGGGATAGGGCCTTACCAGCGCATACTATGTTAAAAAAATGAATGCTTTCATTGAAAGGTTACTTTGTACAAGAGATACTAACCTAACCTAACATATGAGACATCGATTGTACTATAACATCAATTTCTGCTTCGATTGAGAGAGAAGATGATGAAAAATATTAGTCGCGTGATTTTCCAACTTCTCGTCTATATACAAAATTTCAGCGGCCTAGGATATTTTCATTATTTATCTGTATAAATTTGTTGTGAATTGCATCAGCATTGTTGTATAATAAGACAACGCAACTAACAGAACACTCAGTTTTGATAATAATTTATGGAAGACACATTGATTTTTTCCAAGTATCACCAAATAAAATGTTGCTTTTTTCACAGTTAGATCACTTTTTTTCTCACTACGACTTTCAAATTGGAGCTGAGTATCAAATGAAAAGACAATGTAGATTTTCCACTGATAATTGAGATCCTATTAATATATGGCGAAAATACAAGTTATCGTGTAGTAACCAACGTTGTTTATAAAATTATTCTGAAAATTGGGTATAGTTGATGGGTGGAGAGCTCATTTAATTCGTGCCTAGATAGCCTTGATGTAGAGACAAAAAGGAGAGTGTAAATAATTATCTGAACAAATATGAATTCGAACCTCATGGACCCAAATGTGTGAATACTTTTTGAGTAATTAGATTATGATATGCTTTTTGGGAATGAAAGTTTTTGGCCTTCTACTACTCCATCTTGATACTGAAAAAAAAGAAAGGGATGAGGGAATCTTCCAAAGAAAGGAAGGAAGTTATCAATTTAAAAATAAGTAACTCTATACATGGATGTGTATATCATGCAAAGAAGTAACTTTCAGACACAAACTGAAAGAAAGTCCTCCTGAAACAGCTACTTTCATATAAACATTGAATTACACGAAAGGAAAAAATTCTTTCGAAACAAATACTTCTATATGAACACTGAATTATACAGAAGATACTTTTCTCTACTCAGTTTGTATTTCAAACATTCGTTGTGGAATAAAAATCAGATATCATTCACATGAGTTCTACTTTGAATGAATGGTGGTAAATTGCACTTACATGGAACACTGTCACCCTCACTGGTACACACCGATGTTTCGCCTTAAGACACTTGCCCCAAGGCTCTTCAGTATCAAATTGGATAACATTATAGGAAATACACACAATTCATTCATGAATTACGATTTTTCAATGTCACGGAATAAGCTTGATCTGCTTATGTCATCGATGACATCGTAATGACATTCATTCAATGAATGTCTTAAGGCGGTCCAAATCTTTTGTGTGGTGCGATGTTTCGAACGATTGAGTTATTGGCTCTATTATGTTCAGAAGGAATATGGATTTTGGAAAATAGGTCCCTATGCTTTTTCGATACCAAAATCTCAGAAGTCACACACGAAGGACGTATTGAAATATGTCATAATTTGGCGGGAGACGAGTTCAAGGAAGTTCCCTCTGAGAAAGAGTATCACGATAGTACTAGTTGTCTCTGAATTCAACCCTACATGATTTTATCTTGTGAATTTTATCAGTGAAGTTTGGAACTTCAGGCATGGAATGTATCTATAAAAAACAGTCTTCTCTAATCAGAACAAAAATGATGTCTCGCGACACGCGTTTTACTAAACAATCAATGCTTGCTCCAACTTATGTATCTACCTGATGATCAATGTCGTATTCATTTAAATAATTTACCAACGGGAGCTAAGTATCATCTCCTCAATTTGTTCAACAAAATATGGAGAGAAAAAGTGTTTCCCAAGAGATGGTTAGTAACAATAGTAATTCCAATTGTCAAACCAGGAAAGCCTGAATGAAATGTTCATTCTCACAGACCTATTTCTTCAACGTGTACCATGTGCGAACTTTTGGAGAAAACTATTGTCAAGAGCATTTGGGAACACGTTCATTAGTCACCCCAAAGCAAAATGGCTTCAGGAAAAAACGATCAACTTTCGATAGTCCAATCGACCTGGAGTCATACATAAACGAAGGATTTGCCAACAAACATTGCTGTATTTTTTGACATTCACAAAATAT